AAGAAAGAAAGAAAGAAAGAAAGAAAGAAAGAAAGAAAGAAAGAAAGAAAGAAAGAAAGAAAGAAAGAAAGAAAGAAAGAAAGAAAGAAAGATAGATAGATAGATAAAAGTGGTGCCTCCCTGATGGCTCAGAGGTTAGTCTCAGAACTATCAAGCTATCAGCAGCTACTGCCCCTGAGTTTGATTCTCGGCCAGGGAGCTGACCCATATGGCACAGCAGACCTCCCCTCTCTCCCCACTGTTCCCCTCAGCAGTGTATTTCAGTAGATCTTCCTGTTCTGCTCCCCACTCTGTCTTTGGTAAATCCTCTTACCTCCACCACCCTCCCCCACCCCACCACCACCCCATCCCTCTGGCCTACACCCAAGCTCTTGTATGCATAAATGAACAAACTAAATCTTTAAAAATAAATTTTTTAAAGCAGCCACCAACCTGTTTCTATTTCTGGGCAGTCAACTCCATTCAACTCCATGAAAAATCAGATCTTTGAAGCCACTGCCGCACATACACTTCCAAAACTTACCTATGTGCTCTGTATTTTAAACTCTTTCTGTCATGGCTCTGAGTGATTCACAATGTCATGTCAGCCAGGAGGTGTTTGCTATCACTGCTATTTGTTAAGTACCTAACCAGCACTTTATTTACATCCAAACAGGATGGCTCAGCACAGGCTCTGTAGTTCTTTAAATAACATTTTATGATTGGACCTTTACGTGACATGGGCCACTCCTGCACTGATACTAGGAGAGTCCTTTGTTCCCCTGAGGCCCAGAGATCTGGGAAGAATGGCGGCGGTTGTGCCGCCAGTGAGTGGCAGGACTGCAGTGCACATCCTTGCCCTTCTGTCACCCGGGTCAGAGTGCTTTTCCCAGCATATGTGACTATGCCTCAACTGAGAGCCTGGTGCTCTAGGGAGCCAAGGCCAGTGCCCTCCGTGATTGTGTGTTCTGCCCACACAGTCAGCCCCAGCAAGGAGATCAAGATTGTGTCTGCGGTGAGGAGGAGCAGCATGAGCAGCTGTGGCAGCAGCGGCTACTTCAGCAGCAGTCCCACCCTCAGCAGCAGCCCCCCTGTGCTCTGCAACCCTAAGTCTGGTGAGTGGGGCCCCTGGCCTGACTGTGTGTGGGAACTCGGGCAGTCGTGCAGGCTGGGTTGCCTGGAAAGCACGTTCTCAGACACAGGGAGACTAGTGTGTGGGAAGTTGATTAGAGCACGGTCTTGGAGTCAACCATTGTTGAATGGACACGACGAAGGAAGTGGGGTTGGGCAGAGGGGAACTGGGCTGTGATACAGTCTCAGAGAAGGCTGCAGCCCCCTTCGGAGTTGTTGTGATTTAGGGTAGTGCCAGGCCTTTCTGTCCAAATGTTGACCAGTAATTAGATGCTAACTGCCTCTGGGGAGGGCATGGCCTTGGGCAAGGTAGCTCTGTTCAGAGATGATTCCTGAAGACAGATGAGAGCCTGCCACTGTTACTCCAGCTGAAGCCCCTTCATCTGGAGGCTTAGAGCCGTGTGTTGGTGCTCTCTACATTGGGGAAGGGGGTGCTTCTCCAGACCACAATGGAGGCAAAAATCCATGAGACTCCAGCATCCCTGAGGAAGGATCTGTGCAAATCCAACTGGAATTGATTCTCAGAGAGTTATGCATTCCAAAGAAAAATTTAAGAGTGAGGACTATTGATAAACCTCTATGTTGAAACAGTCTTCCTTGACCCAATCAGTTCTTCAACCCTACTGGAACCTGTAACCTACTGATCCCATCACCTCCCACTCTCCCTCACCTGTGAAGAAACCCTCTACTCCACTTGTTTAAGGTCCTGTCTAACCTCCATTCATTGTATCACCTTCAACAAAAAGACTTGGTTCATTTTGTGTCCCCATGACCTGATGTTGGGGATACAAGGATGAGAAGTCATGACCCCTTGCCTCTGGAACATACCATGTTATGAGTTAGTGAGGGTAAGGATGATCAGTGTTGTTCTAATGGCTTTAAGCAATAACTGTCATCTGATGCTGTTGTCTAGCCAGGTGAGTGTTTTTCTTAATCTTTTCATGTCCTTCTGGGTAGTTAATTCTCAGAATAGAGGCATAATCTGCAAGCGAGTGAATAGAAGGAGAGCTGGGAAGGGTTTGCACCTTGACATTGACTCTGTCTTGCAGTGTTAAAGAGACCTGTCACATCAGAGGAACTCCTGACTCCTGGGGCTCCCTATGCTAGGAAGACATTCACGGTAGGCCCCCTGTTGTTTTTTGTCCTGGGCTGCTCCTTGTCTGCGGTTTCCACATGTCCAAGGGTCAGCCTGTAGCTCAGGGAAGGAAACAGAAGGCTTCTCCTTCCTTTTTGTTTTTAGTATAGTTATACTTAGGCACTAAGTGCATTAGAAAAAATAGTGCATGAGGACTTGATGTTAGGATGTGTTTTTAGAAAGACTTACATTATGCAATTGGTATAATACAATTACAGATTTTAAGGCAAACGGTCATACAATAATATTGATAATTCCTTCTGCATTATAGTTGATTCTAAAAATCATTTTTAAGATTTTGGGGGAGTCTTAAGGAAGAGAGAGAGAAGCAAATGGGATAGAGTATTCTATAAAGAGAATGCTTTTCCATTCTCATAAGTTCAAGTTTTTATTTTTGTAAGGTAACATTGGTTTATTACATTGTATAGGATCAAGTGTACATACGTATATAGCCACATATGTGTGCTCCATGATGCTTGTCACCCAAAGTCTGGCTTCCACCCATTGCCATACAATCAATAAACACTTTTGACTTCTGTGGCTTGAGTTAGGCAAGCCCCCGATCTGCAAGTCGGGCATGTGTGCAAGCAGCTTCCCTACCTGCCCCTTCTCGCAGGCTTTCAGCCTCCTGCACTACTGGCCACACTAGCTTCTTTCAAGCAGAATCCACGTGCTTGCTGGACATTGTCTCACTCACTCACACTCCTCCCCCTCCCGACTGCTCTTGGTGTCCTCACGAACATTTCCTCACGGGCTCCTTCACCTTCTGAGAATTGTGGAATTAAAATAGAATAGGTCCAGTTCTAACCCACTTGAGAAAAGCACTGGGAATATGTCCATACATATAGTTTTTTAGTATTTTTTTATTAAGGGAACATTGGTTTACCACATTGTACATGATCAGAAATACAGGATCTACCTCTTCAGGTGTGCACTGCCACTGTACACCCGCCTCCATGATCCTCCACCACAGCCCACTTACCCCTCCCCCTGTTAGAAACCCCCATTCTGCAATGAGATTTCTAGGTTTCTTTTGGTTTAGTTTTGTCTTCTCGTTTGTTTTGTTTCTCTATATTCCAGATATGAATATTTGTCTTGTTTTGTATTGCAAAAAGGCATGTTTCTATTTAATTTTTTTTTTTACTTAAATGCCATCATTGCTGGTAGTCGATGGTGAATTTGTCTCATCTGTATTTCAGGGTTGTGTGTTAAAGATGTGCAATTTGCTGCCCAGAGACTGTCACCACCATTTCTAATCAAGAGTTGGTAGGAAAAGGCACCCTTAGGTTCCAAAGAACTTTTTGACCAGCATCTACTTGTAAATTGTGAATTTTATGTCCTTTCTTTTCTTAGTCCATGACATTGTACTTCAGAAATGCCAGCCGTTTTATATTTCCCATCACTAGTAATTTAAATCGTTACTTTAGACTTTGGGTGATGCCACAAGATCATCCACACTTGGTCTCATTGGATCCAAGGAGGAAGAACATACTAGGAATGGGAAATGCATCTGGAGAAAAATTTCAACCATACTGTTATGATCTTCTCAACCTTCCATTTAGTCTGATATCAAATTGCGTAACTGCCCAAGAAAGGGGCAATTTGCCATTTACTGATTCAGTAGTGATCCCCCAGAAGAAGTTTACTTCTCCCAAACAGGTATTTCTTCTCCACATTTCTGCATAAAGCTTGGAGTTTTTTTTCCCCCATTGAAATGGAGAAGAGACAGGGTGGCGTGGACTTACTCCTGGGCTGGTTCTCTCTCTTGGAAGGACAGGCAAGCTGCCAGGGTCTGTCTGCTGATGGCCAATTGTGGTTTTCCTCTCCAGATCGTGGGTGATGCTGTTGGCTGGGGCTTCGTGGTTCGAGGAAGCAAACCATGCCACATCCAGGCCGTGGACCCCAGTGGCCCTGCCGCCGCAGCGGGCATGAAGGTACCTCTCACGGAGCTGAGTGTCTGGAAACTCCCAGCTCTTTGCTCGCTGCCATCTGTGCTTTCTCTCCCTAAGTGCTTTGATTCTATGTTTGACAAGTGAGCTTTTCCCTTTCTGAATGGGCTTGACATGCTGCCAACAGCTATGGTTTGCAACTAGGAGAAAAAATTGTCCTTGCCCTCTGCCCGGCTCCATCCTGTTCATTTCTCACATTTCTCTCCTTGACCAAGAGCGGGTTTAAACACAGTTTTCATTTATCTTACATCGTATAGACTAGCTCCACTGCTTCTGTTCTCCACGAAGCATTTTCCTATAGGGCTTATAGAGCCAGGAAAATATGGTGGTCATAGAAGTAGCAAATAGTGAAAAAATAGAAAATAAAAGTCATGGAATTTGTAAGCAGAAACATGGATCACATTTTGGTTCTGTTAGTTACTAGCCTGGGACCTTGAACAAGTTCATAATAGCTCAAGTCTGTGTCGTTCTCTCTGAAATCATAATCATAATATTTTTTCTGCTGTTTTGTGTCTTAAATATGTGGAAACATTCGATAATGTTTAAAGAAGTATTCAAACATCAAAAAAGTTGAATCCTGCAAGAATTTTGAGATTATTTTTATATGTTTTTAGTATGAAAGCAATGCCTATACAGTTTAGATAATTTGCAAAATCACAGGCAAGCAGAAAAAAAGGAATTAAAATTGCATGTAATCTTTCCTAATTGATAAGCACCGTTAATATTATAAAGCAGATGTGTTGACATACAGTTGACTTATGAGAAGCCATAGCACTGGTGACATTTCCATTTCTATTCTTCTGGACTTCTTGTACGTAGAGCTTTTAATTACACAGAAATATTAAATAGAGAACAGTTTTCTGCTTCAGTACACCCTTCTCTGGCACAGTTTTGTTCTCTCATCTATAAAACATTCTCAAGGAATGTTACCTAGGACCTGGGGAGCAAGCAGAGTCTCGGAAACTAGAGGTCTTTGCCCTGTTTCTTTAGTGTTTTCATGCTTTCCCATATGTGCTTTTCCTAGAGCAGCAGACGCAGTAGGCGTGACCTGAAGTCCACTGTGCTGTTCTTGAGACAGCACTTGCCCTCTGGCACTGCCAGGCTTACTGGGAAGGAAAGGTGGGCAAGAGAAACTGATCCAGGGCAGCAGAGACAGCAGGCTACTGCCAGCCTCGTACCGCATGCTGGTGTGATCAGCAATTGAGCCTACCTCGTTATTTCCAGTGCTCCTGCAGGGAGCCATTGCTCCCAGGGGAGTTCTCTGGACAACCTACAGACCTCGCTGCTGAGGCCCTTCCTGCCTCCTTAGCAGCAGGCACAGCACTGAGGAAACTCAGAGCAAGAATGTTGCCCGGTAGCGTAAAGAGCAAGTAGTTGTATTGCTGCCGAGGCTGAATTTTTCATTTCTGATGGAACGTTTGGCTGTGGTAAGGGCTTGATATTTTATTTCCACAGTAAAGTACCTGGTATAAATCATTTTTGGCAGTGCTATACTTCTGAGCAGGCATTCTTCACATGGGACTTTACTTAAAGCATATTTCCTTTGGGGAAGTAGTGGGGCTTCATGGCAGTTGAAGTCCTTGTTTTGCTTGGTCAAGTGTGTTTGATTGATTTCAGTCCAGCTCTACTGATGAACACACATTACGGAACTAGGAATTGTTAGTTGATTAGCTAATTAGCTACTTGCTGTATATGCCCTGATAAATGGCGAACCTGTGTGTTTTTTTGTTTGTTTCAATTACATAGACTTAATCCTTCCTATGGTTCGTGGTCCTAGTTTCTTCAGGTGCATAGAATGGTTTTCCTATGTTGTAGAGAAGCACAGAATTCAGAGAAAAATATTTCCAAATAGTATTATACAGCTCTCTGGTGCAGCCAAACATCCTGTCCTGAGGTTCTGTGATCAAAGCAATTTTAGCCCACTGCACACTTGATTCCTCTCCTGAAAATTCACAGAGCACATTAGCATATTAAACATTCTGGCAAATCCTGCAGGGAACAAAATCCTGTTTAGCTTGTCTAACACAACATTTTATCATTTAAAAGAAACAGAATGGAAATGGAATCTTCAGATCATTAAGATATGGCCCTGAAACTATTCTAAGAAATTGCTTTTGGTCACAAGCTGCATCGGAATGAATACACAGAGAATGAATACATATGTTCGGAAGCCTAGTGTTGATTAAATAAAAACGACATGGATGATCATGTCCTACCGCATAGTTTACCTATAGGTCTTCATGTGACTCAGTACAGTTATTTTCCTATAGGGAACAATGAAGTCTTTTCATAGAATTTTTCCCATGTGTAACTGCTGCAGAATAACTTCACTTACATAAAAAGTCATGTGCCTATTCCAATCCCAAAGGGTCTTTGAAGGACGACCCTCCTAGAGGATGTCCGGCCTGGACGCTGACTGACCTGCTTAGTCTGGATGATGGAAATTGTCCAAACGCCTGGCCAGCAGCCTCCTTTTAATACCTGGGACTAGCGAGAGCTGACCCAAAGGTGCAAGGGGCCTGAGCCAGCTCTGTGTAAGGTGCCCATCTGCCTGCCTGCCCTTGTGTAAGGTGCCCCTCTGCCTGCCTGCCCTCGTCTCTCTATGGAGGGCCCGGGGCTTCTCCTCAGGCGATGGCCCTGGGTTTCTCCACATATGAAGATAGATAAGGCCTCGTATCTGCATTTTTTGTGATCTTTCTCTCCAGGGGGATTTTTACACTTTTACTGTGGCTGCCTCCTTCACTGCCTCATTTGATAACTCAAAGTTTTTAACTAAGTTTCTCATGTTTACCATTCCTCTCTTTTTTATTTTACCTGTTTATTATAGTTTTTGTTCTTTTTAACCTCTGGAAGGGTTTCTTACAGGAAACCTCCTTTTAACACCTTGGACTGGCCATCAGTATGTGGACAGACCCCAGACTGAAGAAACTCAGTTTCTTTTTCCCCTCTGTTAATACTTCTAGACCTTTCCAGATTCAAAGGAGTATTCTCTAGGGTTTATTGAACCTGTAATGAGGGGAAACTCTTATACCTATATTCAAATGTAGGTATGTTGGTCAAAGATTAGACTTTTACATAACTGCAAGCTTATTTGAAAATTTTGTTTTTATTCCAGTGTACTTTCACTTTCCCTTCCAGCTACCTTCATATGTACTAACAAGCTGCCAGTTCCCAGAGACCAAAAAGACAACATTTTAAAAGCCCCAACCTTTAACCTTCATTTTCATTTTGTCTGAATCAAGATTAATGCAAAAAAAAGAGAGAGAGAGAGAACAATTAATTACAAACTAATTACACTTTTTCTAGTAAGTTGCATTAGTTCACACTGTCTTCTTTCCCTCTGGTGCCAGAAAACTACTGATATGGTATCATTAATACATTCACTTGATCCAGCATCTTTGAATTTGGAATATTTCTTATTTTTGAAGATTGTTTTACTTAAAATCATCAACTGCTGGCTTAGGAGACCTTTTGTAGCATGACAACTTAAGCATGGAGAATAAGCTATGAGAATCATACAGTTCAGTCAATCATGCAATGCATTTCAACTTAGGAGAGGTCATCTCCTTCCATTTTCCTTCTGCCTGCTTTTTTACACATCTTTCAGGAATTCCATGCCCCTACCTCTGGTTCATTTCAGTGCGAAGGGAAAAGGAGGAAACTCCAGAAGGAATTATACTCTGTTATAATCTGTATGCCTTATCCTGAACCACACTGGTCACTTTTTGTACATAGGTGCATTAAATATCAATAGCTAAAATGCTAAAATCCTGGAGGAAGCTACTGTTCCAGGAAGAATATTTCTATTTGTTGTCACTTTCCTTCAGTTTTGAAAAGGAATGAAGTTCCTTTCCCAAGAGATAGTACAGGCTACAAGCTAATGAATATTACTTAAATGTTTCTTGTTACAACTGTTATTGAGATTTTTTTTTTATATAAATAACATCAAGTCTAAATCCATTTCTGGACCACATTATCTACTATAACTTTATTTTACATAATGCTCTAGAATCTATCATCTACTCAAATCCGGGTGGAAGTTTTACATTTTACAAATCCATCATAATGATACTTCCAGCTGACCCTCAAGTAAATCTAATAGATGACTCTGGCACTCACAATCCCCTAGTGGCTCACCTTTGTGATGAAAACACCTTCTAGATGTCGTCTATGTACTGCAGAACCCACAATCTGGGCCCTGCTGCTCATCATGTTACCCCAATTTTTCAGAGAAACCAGCCTCAAATACTTCATGTGTGTTCTCCCTGTTTTACTGCAGTTGATATCGATCACATTATCCTTTCCCTTTCTTATATTTTCAAGACATAATATTTACCAGAATCTGATAATAGTACTTACATATTTATTATCTGCCTCTAGTAGCTGCATAAAGATAAGGGTTTGTCTGTGTTAACTATTATGTTACCAATACAAACACAATTCCTGACATTTAGAAAGTGCTAGAAGCAAATCTGTTTAATGATCCAGTATATCATGGTGCTTCTCTAGAGAATTCACACATTGAGCTTAACAGTATGTTCTCTGCATATCACCTTTTTAAAGGATTTATTTATTTATGCATGTAAGAATCAGGGTACAGGCCAGAGGTGTGGGGGGAGGGGGTAAAGGAGTCACTAGAGACAGAGTGGGGAGTAAAACAGGCAGATCAACTGAAATACACTGCTGAGCAGGCTAGACAGGAGAGATCTATTGTGCCATGTGCGTCAGCTCCCTGGTCAGGGATCAAACTCATATCTGTGGCTGGCGATAGCTTGATAGCACTGAGACTTAACCTCTGCATCACCACATTGTCTTTCATTGTACTTACAGCTCCTGAGGTAGATGAGTAGTGTTCTCTGTACTTTGCAAAGAAAGAATCCCTTTCCCAAGGTCATCTGGCTTGTAAACATCAGAGCTGGACTGGATTCTCTGTCCCAAAGCCCTAATAATGTTTCCTATTGCATAAACCCATGAAGCAGAGCCCA